GGAGCCCCAGCCCTGTGGAACGAACTGCCCCCGGAAATTCGTAAGATCTCCGACCTCCGGGCGTTTCGCTGCGCACTGAAGACCCTATTATTCCGCCAGGCCGGACTAACAACACAATAGTTTTTAAATTGGGATATTTAAATTTATTGGGGTTTTAAATCTGAGCCACTTTATTTAATTATTTTAAATTTTATATTGTTGTTTTGTTTGTGTTTTTAAACAGGCTGTACACTGCCCTGAGTCCTTCGGGAGAAGGGCGGTATAGAAATAAAATTATTATTATTATTATTATTATTATTATTATTATTATTATTATTATTATTATTATTATTTTGCTCCTTCTACGTGCAATTATAATCTTTTTGTAAATTACATTCTGCCTGTTTGTTGGATTGTTACTTTTTGAAATTTTTGGCTTCTTCTTCTCTTGACTAAACACATTTTACAAACTGTAATTTGGTTACTGTGAAATGTACTATTAATCTGGTAATTAATTAATCAATCAGGGATAAACAGATGAAATGCCATTCCACATAAGACAAATTGTCCATCATTGGAAGGCATTAGGAGCTAGACAGAAGCACAGCAAAATACAAATAATAAAGATGCAGGTTAACAAATTGAAATAATGTTACTTCTTGCCATGGTGTCTAATTAAAATGGATATTCACATTTTTAAAAATATGTCATAACACTGGATATAGTGACGTATCAGTATAGTACTTAAACAAGCATCACGTAATATGATGCAATTAATACTGAAGACCTGATTTAATAATTGTGCTTTGAAAATAGATTTGAGAATAGTACTTTATCGTAGACTATATAGGACTCGTTACAATATAGGTAGTTCTCAACTTACAATCTTTCTTTTAGTGACCATTTGAAGTTACAATGGCAGTGAAAAAACTGACTTATGACCATTTTTTCACAGTTACGACTGTTATTGTTTGGTCATGTGATCAAAATTTAGAAGCTTGCAAATGGTTCATATTTATTATGATTGAAGTGTCCCAGCATTCTGTGATTACCTATTGCGAGTTTTGGACAAGTAAAGTCAATGGGGAAGACAGATTCCCTTTACAACGTGTTACTATCTTAACCACTGCAGTGATTCACTTAAGAACTATGGCAAGAAAGGTTGTAAAATAGGGCAAAACTCACTTAACAATGGTCTCGCTTAGCCACAGAAATTTTGGGCTCAATTGTGGTCATAAGTCAAGGACTACCTGAAGTGTGATGTGGTTGTAAAAAGACATATGTGATTTCAGGCTGCATACACAAAAGTACAGTATGCCTTCAAATCACATGACATAATCAGTCCATTTTAATTTGCATTGTTCAGACCATTGTTTGAATACTATAAATATACCAGACATCATACTTTAAGGCAGGGGTGTCAAACTCAAGGCCCGGGGCACAGATCTGGCCCATGGGGTACTTAGATCTGGCCTGCGGGGCCACCCTGGAGACAGTGAAGGACCAGTCCGCGATGCTTCTGCCAGCGAAAACGGAGCTCAGGAGGGCTGCACGTGATCCTCCTCAGCTCTGTTTTCGCTGGCAGAAGGTTGTAGGAGGCTGTGGCAGCTGAAAATGGAGCTCGGGAGGCCGTTTTTGCTGGCAGAGCACTTGGGCCACCACAGGCGCTCCCAACATGTAGTGACGTCGAGCTGGCCACGCCCACCCTGTCCACACCGCAACTTACCCCCCGCAAGGTCAACCACAACCCTGATGCGGACCTCAATGAAATTTGACATACCTGTTTTAAGGATTTAGAGCAGTTAGAATAAGAAAAAGACATCAGAAACTACCAGGAACAAGACACAATGTGTCAAACACGCTATGAAGATTTAGTATTGAGAAGACTTGAGGGAGGGTGCATTAGAACTATTCACATTCCTGAAATGTTGTCATAGTAAAGCCCATACTTCTTTTCTTACATTTCAGAATATAGGAGATGGCACATTGGATTGATGTTACAGGAAGGAAAATGGGAAAACAGATATTATAAAACATATATTAGATATTTTATTGGATAGATCTGGTTTCTCTTTGAACACGTTCATGGAAGGAAAGTCTATCCTTCCCTTGTAAGTTTTTCTTAAAATTCAATTGGAATATATCTCCATGTAATTTAAATGTGTTATTACATGATAACATTCTGTAAAATAAGGACTAGGTCTTACCTTTCTTGCACAGGATCTCCAGGTATTTGATGAGTACAATACTATCATATTCCCATGAGGTGTCCTATCTGAACAGTTCAAGCAGCCACCACAGCCAATTATTATGCAACAATATCCGACAAAGCTTATGCAAACAGTATCAGACAAAGGAATGTATGGGCAGGTGGTGAAAGTTCTAACAGCTGTTTGGGGACTGAAAGAATTCTTATCAACATACAGATACAAACATGAAATTTCATTTCATTTCACAGTTTAGAGGCCACTGGCTGCACCAGACTCTAGGTGGCATATAAATTTAAAAGCAAAAAACAAGATTAAAGGAATGAAGATCATAGGCATCTGGACAAAAGACAAGAGCAAACAAAAAAACATGCAAGGGCTCAACATCCAATTAGCCCAAGGTTTGGAAGAATAACCAGGTTTGCAGTGTTTTTCTGGACACCATCAGAGTGGGAGCTATACAAATCGGGGGGGGGGGGGGGGCCATTCCAGGGTTGGCAGGAATGGCATTCCAGGGTTGGCAGGATTTGCCATCTGGAATGGCAAATCAGGGTTTGCCAGTCCAGATGGCAGAGACTATGACAGAAAAGGCAGTTCCCAAGTTCTGCTACATGATATTGTTTAATAGAAGGAACATGAAGCATGGATAACTCTGCCTACCTGTAATTTTATATACAGTCCCTAAAATAGGCAGTCCCTAAAAAAAGGACCAGGCTCTGTGACATGAAGACTTTATAGGTTCAATCAGCAACTTGAATTATATCTGGAAGCCAATTTGTCCAGAATTATTGAGTCTGGTGATGGCCTTCCAAGAAGGAGGTCCATCACTACCTTTTTTAAAGCCAGAGAAACCACCACCTCCCTCAGGGAAGCTGACTATTCTGCTTGGAGCTCATCACACTTCACCTCTTGGGGGCTGCTTTAATAACACTGCAAGGATATGGATCTAATAATCAGTTGGCTGAGCTCTCAGTTTGTAAGACCCTGTCCACTTCATCAGGAGTAACATACAAACTGTAGTCACCCCACACAACTTTAACCCAGGTATCTCCAATGGAATAGCCCAATTAGAATACATTTCTGAGTGGATTTGAACAACTTTATCTAACAAAAAGCTAGAATATTCTTCATAATGTCTGAAGAAGTTCAGATCAAGCTCAAAGTTATCTTGAACCAGATTTAAGTGTGATCACTGATATACATCAGGCCTTTGATAGCTTGTACAATCCATGGCCAACTCCCAAGCTGCCTGGATACAACAGTGTGGTGGCAAGTTAAAATATCTAGGTACCTATGGCACAGCACCTCTTGAGAGTGCTCAATGATCTGTGAAAATCTTGTGAAAGTGAACATAGAATAACAGAGTTGGAAAGGACTTTGGACATCAAACCCTTGCTCAAGCAGGAGATCCTATATCATTTCAGACTGGTCCAGTCTCTTTTTGAAAGGCTCCAGTGATAGAAACCCCACTTCTGAAGGCAAACTATTCCATTGGTTGATTGCTCTCATCATTCCCTCCATTGAACTCTAGCTGATACCAAATTTCAAGTTGAGCAGGTACAACTTCAAGACCCCTTCTACAAGTCCTACCTAAGTGCTGGTTATATACACCAGATCAGGCACCTCATCCAATTAAGTCCTACTTCCAACTCTACCACAACTCACATGGGCTTTTAGGCCCAGAGGCTTAAAGGGTTTTCTATGTGTCATGCTGACTTCACTCATTAGCTCTCCCAAAAGCACCTAACAAAGAGCTAACAAAATTCAAAAACCGTTTGTTGAACACCATAATGAAAAGAAAGCCTTAATATTCTCTCTTTTTAACACAGGAAGATGTTTTCATGAGGAAGTTAATTTTCTAACTGCATATTGGATAGCAGAGGGGTGATTGCAGGAAGGAGACAATGGGCAATGTACAATTTATCCAAGCAATGTTGATTAAATTGCTATTATGACCATGCAAAACTATAAATGAAACAAGTCATGTCACTGAGCCAAAAACAGTGATCTAGTCTGCTTTTTAAGACTGTTGTTAGGTCTAGTTCTATTTCTTGATATCAACGTTTTTGGTCAGTACCCCTGGCCTACTATAATACTCTGGGGGAAGGGAGGGGGAGAAATTATGTGATCCCAATGTTGTATGCATTGAGGCTTCAATTTAATGTTTAATTACATTTCACCTGCACGTTAAGTACATTTCACCTGAATTAAGATAAGGTTTCCAACTAGCATTGCTACCTTGGCATAAACAAGATTCTGGTTACTTAGTTTAGTTCAACTATATTCTGCAGAGTTTATTTTCTAATGAAAGCAAACTGTGTTTATCTTTGAGAACGTTTATGGTCTGCTAATTAAAAGATAAAGCTGGGAAGTGTTAATGAGTCTCTTCTGACAACACTTAACTCTATTTTGTATGAACCACAGTATTCCTTCACTTAACTCTTTTAAAAAGGCATCCGTTGTATCAATTGTCATTTAAAACTTTTCCACTGATTTCTCTATTAATTAGCCAATTAGAAGGCTGATGACTAAACAATCCAAACCATAAAAAAAAAAGCCTACATATTTTAGGAGGGGGTAATTTGGCTATCTTCTTTTATATAAATCTGGACACTTTCAGAATTATACTTTCAGATACTCCAACCAGCCTATCATAATGGGGAAGAGTCTTCTTTTCCTTCCTCGCCTGCCAAAATTAAAAACCATTCAAAACATGAAGCGTCTCCCATCCTTATGCGGTTAATGGCCCTAGGTATGAGGCGATAACGCCTGCCATTGGAACCGGAAGTGACGACACTTGGCCCTCTTCGGCTTTCTCGGCCCTCCAAACCCGCCGTGGATACGGTTAGCCACGCCTTCTCGCTCCTACCACTCTCAGGGGCCCCATTAGCGTTCCGGCGCTATGGCAACGGAGTCTGTCTGGCGCGTTCCGGGCCTAGCCAAGCAACGCGTCCTATGAAGGGCCGGAATAGGAGGGTCCCGCCCGTCCGCCCCTCATTCCCTCTTCAGCCTGCTCTTCTCATCTGGCGGCTGACAGACGAGGCGGCCTTATGGCGCCCTGCAAGGGTTTCGTTTGCGTTCTGGAGCTGCATATCCGCACGGTGAGGAAGCCCTGGGGGGAAAGAGGGGTGTGTGTGGCTGGACGGAAGCTCCTAAAGGCGCCTCGGAGGGCCCTCCGCTTTACAGGGGCGCTTTTGATCTCTACGGGCGACGGGCCTGGTGGGCGGGGCTTTCGGGAGTGGTGGGGGGGAGAGTCGAGAAAGGGGAGAACTCGGCCTTTCGGCCGGGAAGCTAATAAAACTAACGGCGGATTTCTGATCGAAGCGATGTAGGTGGGGAAGCCTGGGAGTTTGTCTTTCTTGTTGAGAAGAGGCCGACTCGAGGCTTGGCTCCTTTTTCAAGAGCAGCGCTTTGATTTTTTTTAAAGGCCGGTGGAGGAAGCAGCCTCTGGGAGCGCTTTCTTTCCGCCTTGTTTTTTAATTCCCTCTCTCCCCGGCATTTACTAAGTAACCGATGATTCTTCCACAGAGCGAACGACGCTCTTTTAACTTCATGATTCTCCTGGTTGCCGTACTAGAGTCTCTGCAAAAAAAAAAAAAATCAGGACCACCATTAAAGCATTCAGTGAACATCTGGGTTTTTACCGCCAAGATCTGACGCTTCTGTTAGTCTCTGTGTCCATTTAGAAAATTGGCTCTTTTCCCCCATTCTTCTTTCCTCAGGGGTGAGCTAACGGTTAGACTACATCCGGGCATCTCTCTCACTCTCTCTCTCGTTTCTGGCCAGTTACAGTCTTAAAATACAAGCTTGTTCTTTTTTTCTTTTTTTTTTTGTGCTCTACATCTCTTCTTTCTTAAATTGAGTGCCTTTTCAAGTATTTTCATTTCTATATTTGAAAGCCAGCATTTCTTTTCTCTTTCATGGGCTTCAATATACATACATTCCAGTATATACATACATACAGGTACACATACACACACACACACAATCATCACATGAAATGCATCACCATTCAGTTTAGTAGGCTGTGACCGTCTTTGCCTTCGCTATATCAAATCAGATTCATGTATCTTTTCTTTTATGTACACTGAGAGCATATGCACCAAGACAAATTCCTTGTGTGTCCAATCACACTTGGCCAATAAAAAGTCTATTCTATTCTATTCATAGTAAATGCTGAATGTATTACAGTATCACTTTCCAAAGCAGAAATATTTGTTTTTTAAATGTATCCATATGTGGGGGCTACAGGGAGAGTAAGGTCTATTGAATAGCTGAGCTTCTGTTGACTGCATGGATACTATTCATGTGGTTTTCTTGGCATAGTAGAGAAGTAGTGCTGTTCTCTTTGACTAGGAATTCCCCCCCCACCCCAATTTCTCAGTCTAGCCTATAGATTTTAGATTTCCTGTTTCAGTTCAGATTGTAACCAAACCTGTCTTGTTTAGTTTCCATGCACAGACATAGTCAGATGCTATTACTTGATGAGATACCAGCACACATATAAAAGATGAACAATTTTCTTCCTAAACTATTTTTTATGAAATCATCTACAATTAAGACTGCATAGAAAGACCAAGACAGCCAATTTGGTGTGGTTAAGGCACCAAACTGGAAACTAGGGAGACTGAGTACTGGGGAGACAGAGTACTGCCTTGGGCCTGTCACTCTCAGCCCTTTTGAAATCTTGGCAAGAAAAGTACAGGGACTAATTCAGGCAATTGTCAGGAGTCAACAGTGCCTTGAAGGCAGAGGGAAAAAAACAAAAACAAGCATGAACATTTGAGTGTAAATTTCAAAGCCATTGAATTCTACAAGTGTATCTTATAGATTAATTCTCAAGTATTGCTGCAATTCAAATGTACAAAATAAAACACTGAAAAAGCAGCATTTCCTCATCAAAGCATTCCAGATTGAGTAAATATTTTCCTGCAATTTTTAAAAAATATTCATTGCTTTATTTTAATTTTGATTTTTGATTTGATTGTTGTTCTTTTATGTCGCCCAGTAATGGCTTAGAAATCTTATTCTCCTAATGCAGTGTTTCTTAACATTTTTCTTTTCAGGATCCTTTCCCTTTTAAAAATGCTGAGGACCCCAAAGGAGCTTTGTTTATATGGGTTATATTTATCAATATTTTGTGTATTAAAAATTAAAATTAGCTGTTACTACTCCTTTTCATGATTGATTGAGGGGATTTTAATATTGTATTCTTTTTAAACATATGCTGATAACTAATTTTGATTTCCTGGACCCCTGCAGGGTCTTGAGGGACCTCCTCAGACCACCTTTTGAGAATCACTGTCCTAGTGGTTTATATTTAAATTATAAAATTAATGCATACTAACTTCAGTGACTAAAACCATTGCTGTTCAGAAATTGGTACTATGCCTGGTTTCTCTCTTGTTTTATAAAGTAGGAATACTTACTTTCTTTTTGGTAAGTTTTATATATTGTATAAAAAAGGAGAACTATCCACCCCTCCAGCAACTTAGCAAAGCTAAACTGATACATAAAATATCTACAAATATTAGAGAAATTGGTTCTCAAATTGTGGTATTTATCTTTCTAGTTTTTTATTTATCACATCTGCTTATCTCCATAACTGTCAAGACATAGAATGGTAAATCCACAACATGTACCAGTAAATCAGAAATTGGAACATTCATGGTAACACGAGATGACATATTAAAATAGCTCAATTTCAAGCAGAACAAGAAACAGTAAACCTAAATAATAATCTTTGGTTGATAATCCCTGTTTAATTCCCAAATACACTATCTTCAGCACTTCCGGAAGACTACCAGGAGAGGGTTAATATAGCTTCAAGTGGGAACCATTCCAAGCATAGATGTGATTACAGAAAACAATGACTTATTTTGCAAAAGTGGGGAACCACCCATGGTTTATCCCAGTATAAATGGGTAAGTAAGGCATAATATGGTTTGTTTGGTTTGATGTAGTGGATTGGCTTATTCAAGAAATAAAGGAATGTTGCATAACTTGAGGGTCACACCAAATTTAATAAGAGTACAAAGGACCAGGCTCCAAATGTGGCTGGATTTAGTCATCCACAAGATCCACAACTTTCATCAAAATGCTGAGAGCTGTGTTCTGCATTGTGATACAAGTTTTTCTCATTGCATACTTGGATTCACCATAATGACATTCTGATATCACAGAGCTGGTGTCATGGTGTAACACTTAAGTTGTCATTTAACCAATGTGAGTGGAAGCGGGACTGTGCTTTTTGGGAAGTGGGTTCAGGGTTTTATATACAACTAGTAGCTTGTACAAGATGTCCAGTTACTGATTTCCCACATTTACGCTTGAAATTATTATTACAGGTTGCCAATGTTACCCATATCGGCAAACATTTATTCATTCACTCACCTTCTATTAAAATATATACATTCATTTCAAAGAAGTAATAAACCAGAAAAGTTTTTAGCAAAAAGGAATAAATGAACACATCAGAAATAGCAGTATTCTACAAACAGTGGAAGAAAATTTCAGATTTCCCCAACTTTTGCCTTTGATTTTAAAATAGCTATTCTTGACCAAGGAATGCTCAAAGGATGATGCATATACTGCTTAAAACCATTTCATTGCAATTTATTTAAAAGTTCAGTTATATTTTCTGTAACATGGATTGTAATTACATGGGTTTATCACAGTGTCAGTTTATACCTGGGATATTTGCATTATCATCACTGTTGCTTTTCTAACCACGCTCATCAAGTTTACTGTGCATTTCATGAAGTGGACTATGGGGTTTAAGTGTTACATAGTTAACGTTCATTAGTCATAATTATGAATAATTGCTCTTTCAGATAACATGCCCAGGTGTTACATTGAAATCCAGAGAAGATGTCTATGTCAGTGCATGTATTTTGGGGCAGCATAAGAAAACTTCATGTGTTCGTGCAATATTTCCCCTGATATTTGATGAGAAATTAATGTTTGAAAAAGTAGGTACTTACAATATCATGGCTAACATTTAAGATATAATTCATATCCAAGCACTTTGTTTGCCACATTCATATACATATTTCTGTAATATTTCATTTTCAGCTCACTTTATTTTTGAATTAATGCTTATGTAAGTATTAACATTTATATATTATAGGTTTGACTGTATTTTTTATTTTAAAGGTATTTTTGTTTTTTTTAATAGCTGAGGGTATTGTATATAAAAGAAATACAGTATGAATTCTTCAGGAATGTAGTTATTGACTACATATATTCTGTTTGTAGAAATAACAATTCATTTCTACAGTCACTTGGTTAATAGAACAGTTTAGTCCCTGAATGGCATGAATGAACTATAGTATGTGAACTATTGGAAAGAACTTCTAAAAAAAGGAAACGTTTGTGAAGATACATATAGCAATCTTTACAGATATGGCTTTATAGACACTCTGTGCATTATGCTTAATGTTTACTAAATAACAATATTTTTCTGGCAGTCTTGATTTATTTGTTGTTCCTTATATTGCAATATATATTTTTGTCTGAATAAAATTTTACAGGGTAAATCTGTGTAGATGTGGCTATTGCAAATAAATGGATAGCATCAACATCAGAAACCATAGGGAAACTATTTGACATGGGATTGTTTGTGTTTGGATTTAAATTGTGCATTTTAAAGTAACAGTTATTTAAAAATCTGTTCTGTGAAACTTGTATTTTCTCCAGACTTGTGTAATCCCTCCTATGTTAGGGTATTAATTGATTCAGCAGGCTTCATTTTGTGATGGTAGCTGATTATGACATTAGTAAATAAAGTATTCCTTCACTTTTTCAGCACAGCACAGAATTGCAAATCTTGACATAACTGCATCATGATCTTAACAGACCTTCCAGCCTTGCTTTTTGGGTTCATACTGAGTTCATAATTAAGGTCAAACCTTAATTATGGAATCTTAAACTTGTCCCCACTGAACAAGTCCTACTCAGTTTATTGGGACTAATTCCCAGTTGGTTATACTGGCCTGGAAATACATGTTCTTAAACTTAGCAGACTTACTTCTGAGTAGATATATATTGAATGAATTTTAACTCTCTGACAGAATAAATATAAGTGATGTTCCATCCTTTACTAGAACGAAAGAAAATAATTGCTCACTTTCTAACAAGGCAGGTATGTTTTTCCAGGTTGAAAGTAAGAGACTTGCACCTATTATTTATGTCAAATTTTAATTTAAGAGTCAAAGACAATACCAAAACAGAGACAACTCAACTTTAATTTAAGAGTCAAAAACAAACACCAACAGAGAAAATAGCTGCTTTTTAGAAAAAAGATTCTGTTGCAGTGAGAAATTGTTGATGTTGTTTAACTGTTTTATTCTCTTAAAGAACTTACTACTCTAAATTATTATAGTGGTCATATTTGTTAAATGTCCTCAGAATTGTTTTAGCAGAATTGTTCCATTTCATTTTCTAAAACTTTCATTTTAGGTATATACTGATGTAGTTGACCCAGGAGATCTTGTTGAACTTTTTGAAAGTAGGTTTTTGGATTTTTGTTTTTTGATTACTTTTTATTTCATATACAAATTATTTTATAGTATACAACATCAAAAATCAATTGGAAATTTCAGAAGATGTTCAGGCGTATGAAATGCACTAGAAATTTTCTCTGAAATAATGGAAATTTAAATTAAATTATTAAAAATAAGAAAAATGATTTCATTGGAACATCTCATTAATGTTTTTAGTTGATCATATATACCAGTAGAACTATTTGGTATATTTTCTAGGAACATCATCTACTTTTAAATAACTGAAGCTTTCATGATTTTAGAGGTTTGTCAGAGGCCCCTTTCCATTTCCTCAGTATTTGTAAATAACAAAAGGATGATTAAAAAGAGAATGATAGGATTTAAGACAGAGTGTCAATTATAGCATATTCAGGTTCATTATTTTTGATTGTTAAGATCCTCATCAGTTTGTTTTTCAGCAAAGGGTATAGAAAATAGGTCTGAGTCTAGATAGAAAACTTTCTGCAGATACCATGTAGTTTGCCTTGAGTATCATTATGACTGAAATATTGGGTACAGGTGTATTAATTAAATACTTAGCTCTGCATCCTACTCCCTCAGAAGTAAGTTCCACTAAGTTTTCAAACAGTAGTATGCAAAACTACAGTCAAAGTAAAGAAATTATTAGACCTGATTTGAGCTGAAAAAAAATTGAAAGCAAAAACATTTACCTACCACCTGAAATATGTCAGATTTATGTATTAAAACCAGCTAAACTGAGAAATTAGCTCCATGTTCTTACTGAGTAGTGATGAGAAAAGCTATCATATTTTTATTTAGAATGTGGTATACATTTACCTACTGACCAAAATGCTTGAGCCCTCCCTCTCTCCCTCTCTCTTTCTCTCTCTCTCTCTCCCTCCCCCTCTCCTTCCCTCCTTCCATCTCTCTCTCTCTTTTCGAGAAACTAGTAGATGCTCATAATAACAAATGCAATAAATTGTACAAAGTTAGAGATAAACTAATTGTTTTTTTTTAAACTTTGTGATCAAAATGACTTCTGATTATATTTTGCCCCTTTTTCTAGCTGATACATCAGTGGTTCACTTAATACAAACTGTTCCTCCAGGTATAGTACCAATATTTTCATAAATTAACACAGTCCTATGGTAAATTTCTGTATATAACAATTTATTCCATTCAATATGAAAATGTTTTTAGGGTACAACTTTTGCCCAGCAATAGATACTAGCTGTGTACAGTATTTACCCAGCTTCTCAAAACTTGTATTTATTCTTCAGTGCATAATCTCTGTACATAGATTTTATTTTGTGATCAGTATACTACAGTTTTTCAGATATGTATACAAATTTTATTGTATATGTGAAACAACTTATTTGAATGTAGCGCCTATGTAGTGTAGAGAACAGTAGTTATAACCAGTTCTTGTCTTTGCAGTAATAAGGTAAATGGTTCTGCAGTTATTCACTTTTGATTTCCAAGTGAATGAAAAAATAGAAATATGAAAACCTCTTTACTGCCTTCCTTGATTTTTGGTGCAGAAATTTGAATCCGTAATTTTAAGTAGGTTTTCTGAATCAATGCACAAACATACATACAAAATTGTTGAACTTTAAAATTTTGGTTGATAATGTTAGCACCTCTCAGTAATTTTGTTTTCTTTATTGCATTTCACAAAGCCAAGGTTTTTAGGAACCCTTATTTTCATTAATTTCTAGATTATATTGTTGGTGAATTCCAAAATCAAAATAATATGTTTAATATTTTACTTCCACCAAAGAAAGCCATATTTATCGTTGAGTTTGGATATCACCATAAAAATTTCTTAAGATAGTTTTTTGATTCCATTTTGGATTAGTACTATCATAGACTTTTCTAATCTAATGAGATATTCCTCCGTGGCATTAGCAGGCAAAGTTGAGATTTCATATTTCATATCTTCTGTTGGGATCAAGGGAATCTAAATACTCTTAGCTTTGTTGTATCAGTCTCTTTTTATATGCTTCAATGCCTATCTCTCTATGTGTGAATATGTAGTTACTGTTTTTCAATTAAAACATATAATTCACTTTCAGTGGGAGAAATTTTGGCCAGATATGAAGAAAATACAAGGGATTTCCTTTTTCCTGCTCCTAAGTTTATCCATCAACCACGAAATTCAGTTCGTGAGGTTTTAATGAAAAAGGCCTACGATTTTACAGTAAGTGTGCTTCATCACAAGAACACAAGAATCATACAAATGTTGATCTATATTTGGGGTTAATTTGACATATTTCTTAATGATTAATAATTTAGAACCATTTTTATTTTTTATTATTTATAATGAAACTTATCCGGACTCAGAAGGTAATCAGGGTCATTTATAGATAGTGCTTGGATAGGAGACTATTAGGGAATCTCAGAGCTGCAGATAAGGGAAGAAAAAAAATCTTGAAAATTGCAAATGCAAACAATTCTGGCCCTGTAGGCAAGATATTATTTATTTTTCCTGTCCTCTGTTGGAAAACTAGTCTTTTTTTCTCCTTGAAATAAACTTCCTTCTTCTTGCTCACATTAAATTAATTTGATATGTATTGCTAAATCAGTGAGTTGGGGGTGTACTTTTATATTTGTATTTCTCCTTTGTTTTTACTATCACACACTGTAAAGAGCAAAGTGGAGTATCATAGCTTACAATCAGAAATGTGATTTGCATTGAAAAATCTCAAATTCAAAACCTACTATCTCCGGTCCAAAGGAGCATGAACAAGATAAAATAGTTGTCTTAAAATCCCAAAAATCTGACACTGTTCAGAGTAAATAGTAGTGGGCTTGATGAATAAGCCATATGATTAGATATAAATCAGGAAGACAAGATTTTCCTTCCTATATACTTATTTCCATGATATTGTGAATCAGAAATTATATGATTTGTAATTATATTGACTCTACTTTTTATCAGTTCTAACATTTCCTTCCTTCCTTACATAAGCTTTGGGTAAAGATACAATGCTCATGTTCAAGAAAGGAACTGCAGCACACTTTGCTGCCATTTTCCTTAAATTATTTGTTTGTTTTACAAAGGTGAGAATGTTGTAAACAATTTATTTTGTCATCATTAATATGCTTAATACAAATATGGAAGAAATGGCAAGTTATTAGACAGAAAGGATATCCCAGTTTCTCTAATATATATCACAAAACATTTAGAAGTGATGTGACTGATGGCTGAACAGAATGGCTTTACTTTTAATTAGTATTATGTTAGAGTTTGCAGCGATCCAACCAGCATACAAGTAAATAATTCAGCAGGATTCATTTATAGAAGAAACTTGTTTATATACAATAATATAAAATGTGATGCATGTATACAATACCGATGCAGCTCTTGCAACGCAACGTGGTAGCAAGTACAAGAAGCAGAAGCCAGAACCAGAAATCACAGAAGCAATACTGAAAGGAACAGATCCTGTTTCTTAGTCACCAAACAGTTCCCATTGGCTGACTTCTTGTTATGGCTATCCCAGCTCATAATTTCTTATATACTGACATATTATATAATATGCCATAAAAATTCCTGAGAAATGCTTTTGACAAAGCAACAAATTGAAATAAACATCAGACTTTAATTGTTGCAGAAAGGCGGTATAATTGCTAGTAATTGAATTGTCAGAAATGCAAATATTACCTTCTTGACATTTACTATTGCTGTTCTGTCTCTTCTAATTATTTTTTATTAAAGGCTAAAATTAACGGAAATTATTCAAATTAGGAATAGTTTGTTACAGTATATAACATTTACTTCTTTGTTATCATGTATCTAATCTGTTCAATTATTGTTTCTCTCTTAGGGAATTGCACCAAAATTGAAGTTTCACACAACTTGTGTTATTTCAGAAAGTCTGTTAAATTCAGCAAAAGCTCAGAAGCAGAAACAGGTTAGTATAACTTAATGACAAACAATTCCCATAATATTTTCTTACATTTATTCTTAGGTGATTTGTTTGTTGAAATAATTCTTATGAAGCTTCATGTAAATTTCATTCTTAAGTAAAAGATTGCTTCAATTGTAATGTTTGCTTGAAAGCGAAAGACTGCTGAGTAAAATCTTATATGCTTTTTAAAACAGTTAAAAGTATTCAACAATCATCTGCGTAACTGATGTTAGAAAGACAAAATATTATTATTCCTGTGATAAATATTTCTTTCATTCTATAGTTCTTAGTATAATCATTAAGTACTGTTGGTAGAAAAACCTTGGCTTTTTAGTATTCATTTTTCTTTTTTATCAATATATTTTTCTTTTATTCAAAAAATTAAAATACAAAATTTAAAGGGAAAAAATTAACAAAGATAAAACTAGAAAAAACCTTAAAATTAAAATTTTAATTTATATTATTTAATTTAATTTAATCTTAACTTTTTTAATTTAATTTTTTTAAAAAAATATGTAAATTAAAAGGACAAAAAAGAAAAACATATATTATCTTCCCTAGTTAAACATTGACAGATATATTGTAACAATAATAGCTTTCCCCTTGCAAAACAGGTCCAAGATTTATACATTTCTACATCTATTTGCAATCCAATTTGACCTGTATTATATTTCTTACTTACGTGTGTGTGTGTGTGTGTGTGTGTGTGTGTGTGTGTATGCATATATGTGAAGAAAAAATAATTAAGAGATTAATCAACAGCAAAGGTAAACTTCAAAGCCCTCTGTTAACAGTCTGTTATTGTAATTAACTCATTGAAAGTCTACAACAGTTTCCTATCCATCTAGAGCCGTGATGGCACAGTGGTTAGAATGCAGTATTGCAGACTCACTCTGCTGACTGCTAGCAGTTTGATCCTGACTGGCTCAAGGTTGACTCAGCCTTCCATCCTTCCAAGGTTGGTAAAATGAGGGCCCAGTTTTTATTTATTTTATTTTATTTATTTTATTTTATTTGTATACCGCCCTTCTCCAACGGGACTCAGGGCAGTGAACAGCCATGGTAAAACATATAAAATTTAAAAGCAATTTAAAAAACATTAAATAATTTTGGCTATCCATTTAAACAACCTGGGTTAAAACCAATTACAAATTAAAATCGAAGGGATGGGATCAAGCCAGCCCGGCTAGGTGGAAAAGATGTGTTTTCAGGGCCTGACGAAAAGTCCGGAGGTCTGGTATCGTGCGTATCTCTGGGGGTAGGTCGTTCCAGAGGGCAGATGCCGCCACAGAGAAGGCTCTCCCCCGGGGGTCGCCAGCCGACATTGTCTGACCGACGGCACCCTGAGGAGTCCCTCTCTGTGGGAGTGTACTGGCCAGTGGGAGGCTATTAATATATAGATTGTTGGCGGCAATATCATCCTGGGTTTGGTTTAAAGCTGTTGTTTACCATCAAATTTTTTATTTATATTTTTTTAAAAAAACCTGTGAGGTTTTTTTTTTTTTTAATTTTCCTATCAAAAGTTAAAAAATAAAGATTGGAGCTCTTTTTTTAAAGGGTTTAAAAGAACAAAATATGTAATATAATCCTGTATAAATGTAAGTCCAATCAGATGACTTTCGCTGCCAGAGAATGTATTAACACCATTGACTTCCTTACAGTGAACATGAAAGTGGTTTAGAATTCAATGGTAAAGAATAAAAGAACAGGAAAAAAGTAAAGTCTAGCAAGGAGTTGTAGGATAGATGTGCAGTCGACTAGTTGGTTAAAATGTAGATCAAAGAACTTTAAAAAATGGAATTAAAATCCAGGCATCCTTTAAAAAAAATAGCTGAAAGGAAAAGATGGTAAGAGGCCTGACCTTCTGATCATTCCTTACCGAGAATTGTGGTCTTCTAGATCCATTTGATTGGAAAAAAAGGTCATCCTAATAAAATCATTGCCTCTTGGTTTTTTTCCCCTTGTCTCCCCCTTCCCTTTTTTTAATAGTTTGAGAAGGATTGAGGTCTAAACATAAAGAAAATATATGATCTGAGAATTATTCATTAATTATGGAGATATCAAGCAAGATAATTATTGGTTATGATATGTTCAATGGTGAAATGAAATACTTTGAAGCTTTTTAGTCTTAATAATTTCTTCCTTTAATTCAGGATAATTTAGATGGGCTGTTTCATTCATCTACAGAAGGAATGCGACAGATCAAATCTTCAAAGAAGAACACAGCTTCACCTGACAGAAACAGGCCCTGTTTAGCAACAAAAAGTTATGAGCAACCCACAATAGCATCTGTTTCTCGATCTCCTTCTCCGTATACAAAAAGACGTATGTGTGAGCTTCTGAAAATCAGACAACGCCTGGCTCACTTAGACCTAGGGCCTTTTGATTTCAGGAAGGAAACAGACAGACCTCCATTTGTAATTCGTCGTGTATGTATCCTCTAATGGTAACAGTTTAAACATAGATCAAATCTTGCTCTTCCAGTTATTTTGGAAAGCTTTTGATTAATTTTACTCTTTTGTGATAACTAGTTCTTTCCTGGTCTAGAGGAAAGATTAAGTAGCGTTAAAGTTCTTTACCTGATCTCAAAAAATTAAGCAGGATCAGATCTGGTTAATACATGAGTGGGAGATCATCAGAAATTCTAGCGGTTTAGGCTAGAGTGAGATATTAGAAAAACATCTTGAACAAAAGCAGTGGCAAGCCATTTCTTTATTGTTGTCATTAAAATTGATTAGGGATGAGATTCCTAGAGTTCTAGTGGAATAAGAAAGACAAATAAGACATAAGTAAAAGTTCAGATCCAAACCTATGCCATTATAGTATGTATTATAGTAAGTTTGAAGCTATCAGTTCTTTGTTGGAAATCCAGGCTGAAGAATTGGCTGCTGGATCATTGTAGCATCTAGCATGTTAAGGCATTTAATCCCATCTTGAAAGAAGTAGAACGGTGCCCCTCCCCAAGAATCTTATTGCTCAACCTAGCTATTCTATCTCCCAATTTTTCTTTTTTAGGGAATGTTGTTGAATAGATGATTAAGATATAGCTTCAGAAAATCTTGAATTATATAAATTACTTGGATCCCTATCCATTAGGATTCTGGTTTAAATATGAAACAAAAATTGCATCAGCCGCCATGTTAAGTGATCTTTTTGGAAGTAGGGAGGTACATATCCTATTGAATCTCTCGGCAACTTTCAATAACATTGTCCATGGTATCCTTATGCATAGATTATAGTAGATGGGAGTGGGGCACTATATTGCAGTGGTTCTTTTGTAGCAATGGGGAGGTAGAAGTTGAGTCCCAAGGTTCTTTTGTTTGGTACTGTCTGAAGAGTCAAGCCTTCTCAGTTACAGTCCTTTTCTAAAGAATATCTTACTTCTGAAGATTAGACTGGTCCCACTGCTGAGTTTAAGGAAAACTAAAAACATGGCTTTTTAAGAAAGCCTGGGAGGATCTCATATGAATTAGGAACACCACTTTTGGTCATGCCTGAATGTTTATTCTTCCTTTGTGGCCATAATTTTGTAATTTTCTTTGATAGCGTTAGACAACTTTTTGTCACACTATTTTATTTTAAATGTTTTTATTGAAAGTAAGAAATATTTGCCAGTCAGAGTTTTTCTGGATTGGAATTGCATATAAGTTCCAATAAATGAGCCCACTACTCAGACTATTGTATCCTGCAATACTTGAAGCTTTCCAGTGGCTTTCAAGAGCAGTCACATGTAGAACAAATTGCAATAGTTCAGCTGCAATGTGATACAGTCATGAGTGCAAGGGGGTGGGGGGGGTGGGTGGGAAGCAAGCAATTTCTGTAGGCAGTCTCTCTTTTGCTTGATACTCCCCACCACCATATTTACAGAGTACTGTAAATTATTTGCATAGTGCACTCATGGCTCGCAGCCTTAGGTTGCAGCATAATTGCATTGCTTTTGACGTATACAAGACAGTAAGCAGACTCTTGAGCATTACAAAGTATAGGCAAATGTGTGGTTTCATAAAGATATAAAACTTATAGCCTTGTCTCTTTCCAGCTGGAAAGCACCATTGCAGTCATGTGATTTTTATTTATCAAATTTATATGCTGCCTATGTCACTATCTAAGTGACTCTGTGCAGTTTACAGATAAAATCCATAAAACTATAAAAAGACAATTAAAAAACAAAATTAAAAACAAAGTTAGTAAGGCAGAGGGAGCTCCTTCAAGTTACCAACTACCCCAAGATTGCATACCACTCTTGGTTCCCTTGGCCAGTTGGCAATGCTTTTCTGGAAGCCAGAAGAGTGCCTCCCCTCTGGGGGCAAAATGTTCCACAGGGTGGGGACAACAGCAGAGAAGGCTCTTCTCCTAATCTGTACCAATTGAAATTCTTTAACTGACTGGGCTCTTAACATACCCTCCCTTCCTGAATCTTAGTGACAGTTTTGCTTAATGGCGCAATTGCCAGTTCCAATTAGGGTCATTAAAAGAGTACTACCTATATTAAATAGTTTTAATAATTATTTAATTTTAGGTTGAAGAGTTGACTCCCTCACCTGATGTTCATACTTGGTGTCATTCTAAGAACAATAACAAAGAAGGAGCAGCCTATGGCAAGTATTATGTTAGCGTATAAAAGATGCATGCAGTTATAGGTTTGAAACCTATTTTAGTGACCTTAATTATGTTTTTGCTTTGTCTAGTTCATTGACATTTCTGGTTCAGGAGCAAAGTATCTGATTTCTTACATTTTCACTGACATAACATGTTTTAAAGAATACTGCAAATTAAGTGCTTTATAAAACTGCTAGCGCAATTCCCTTTAATTGGCAGCAATTTCTTAGTAGAAATTTTTAAAAGTCACTACATTCAATTTCTTACTGTGGGAATTTTGTGACTTGTGTCACACAGTTGATATAAAAACATAGCTCTGTTGTCTTACAAAATAAACTTACACTACTTTTAAGAAGTTCAATCAGTATATTACCTCTTGTTTCCCATTCGCATCTCATGGATTATGTGTTTCTGTTGCTTCCAGTAATTCCTGTTATCTGTTCAGGGAAAGTTATATTTTTGCATAGAGTTTTCTTATAGCATTTGCCTCTTCACTGACCTACTTTGCAGTTAAACTATTATGTGTCCTAGAAGTATTTTTGTTTGTTTGTTTGTTGCTATTGCTGTTGGGATACATAGTTTTTAGCAATCAGTATATGATTCTGGTTGTAAAACCTTCATGAGTTTGAGAAGAGAGGATGCTTTCATTATAGATAGTCCTCAGGATAAGAAATAATTTCTAAAAATGAACTGTTCTGTTTGACAGTCAAGCCTTTTCACATTATCCACATCCTGTATAGTGTTTTAGACTCTGATGTATACTAAGACATTTCCATTTTAGCTGCACAGATAATCCAGAATCCCCCCTCCCCCATTATTTTTGGAGATAGTGGAAGCTGTTTGGCATTTCTTTCCATGTTGCAGTGGTATGGGAGAGAAGAGGACATGTCACAGTTCTTTTTTCATAATCAAAAAGAGCTAGAATGGAAATTACAGATTTTCAATGATATCTAATAGGGGAAAAAAGCCCTATGGTGTTTGCCAAGCCATACAATATTAATATGAAAAAAGCATTACATTTCTTTAAATAATTTGATTTTGTTCATATATGTTATAGTATAAAATTGATTGTCTCATTTTATCAAGTAAGATAGAAATAGTTGTTTTGCCAATTGTGCCGTGTTCAATAATGTTAAAAGATTACCACAAACCAATGCATTTAAATAAAAGCTTTGTGGTTATATTTTAAAACACTTATTGGGTACATTCTACTTCTATAGGAGCTGGTATTTTGCTCAAGAGTTGGGTGGGTGGATGGATGGATACAAAGTTAATCAACCTACCTCTGATTATTAGAACTAGATCTGAATTGCTTTCATGCTGAACTTGAGCTTCTGGATAGATATGTCTTGTGGGACTGACCTTTTTATGTTGCTACCTCCTTCTGAGGAACTGGGGATTGGAAATGATATAATTCAATAACAGTTCCTGAATAGGCTACAATTAGACACTGTTTTGGAAATCAGGAGGTGAGAGAAGGGCAGGACTTTGATGCCTCAAGAAACCTTGCATGCAGAAAAGTGATAATAAAAATGTTAGCAAGGAAGAAGATCTTTAGCTAAAAAAATTGGAACAGAAGGAAAGTAGATGACTTATCAATCTTTCCTCCAGTTGGGGAATAGAGTTGCTGACCACTATATAAGAAAACATTATTCAAAAAGGAAAAAAAAAAATCCAATTCTTGTAGATGGCCTTCTAAAGAAACAAAACTCAGAAGCAGAATATTGAAAGGGAAAACTGAATACCAGAATGCACATTCATACATCCTATAACAGGATATATGCTAGGATCTTAGTTGTAGAATTGCCTTCTGTTGATCTCTATAAAACAGTGGTTTTCATCTGTGTCATTAATGGAATGCTAGGTGGAATAAAATTGTATCTAACATCTGTCCTAAAGATCCTGGTTTTCAATAGTAGAATAATTTACACTTGTGACTATTTATTAAGGGTATAGCATACAATGTCAGGGAAATCTACAAACGCTAGACGCAACACAGTCCTCTCACCCTAAATTGCCAGTTCATTCTGTTCATTACTTATGTGCCTATCCTTAGTACACCCCAGGAAAAGAACTACCTTATACTGGCTGACTAGTGGCACTCAGGTTGCTGGCTCTTCTGAGCTCCTTTGCCGGTCTCACTTCACCTCACCTTGTGTTGCGTTGCCTCATGTCAGGCCACCAGCTTCTGCTCTCCGCACTCACAAACACAGCTAGGTTTTTCATCTACTTGCAATATTGCATGCTTCCAAAGTGCTGGTGTGGGCATGAGCCAGGGAATGAGCAGGGGGAGCTTAACCTGTCTTTTGGAGCTGGACTCGAGCAGCTGGAGTGCAGACCATTTCTGGCTGGCAGTTCCAGTATCATTAAGCCACTGTGCCACTGTGTCCCCACACTTGTGATTATTCAACAATTATTGACATCAAGAATGCTGCCTTATTTGAGTCCTGATAATTGCAGAACTGTATTGTTCCTGATCAGATCTTCTGCCTGGCAGCATGCAAGAAATCTACACAGGAAGTATGAGAGCTGAAGAAGAATTAGGAATAGGAATTGCAATTGGCAAGCAAAAATATATTGTGCTTCTTTCTGGATTCTCCTGCTACTGAAACTGAGTACACTCCTTGCCTATTCCTAGTTTCTCTTCAGCCTCATACCTGGGTCCCATACATATCAAAACACAATTTTGGGCAGCCTTTTCTCAGATGTTGGAGTGGGAAGGCATGTTCAGGTGATTATAACTTAGTGGGATGGGAGGAAGTCTCTGAAATCTCCTGAGTTCTTATATGCATTGTGATGGTAGCCTGTTTTAAGAGTAGAAGTCCAAAAAGAAAAATATGGGTTTTATTGAGAAAAATATTTCAGAACTATTGTCTTGGAGCCAGAGGCTTTTGTATTGATTTGAATAATTATGCCACAAATTAAATTATCTCACTATCTAAATACTAGTTTAAGTGCTTTTTTATAATTTACATTGCTGTATTCCAGTAACTAGTGTTCTCAGTCATTAGTTAAAAGTTTAAATGATTTTGATTTTTCAAAATATTTTGTGTTAAAATGTTTTAATTTTATTAACTTTTTTCCTTTTTAAGATCCTAGCCTTCTTGGCAGTTACAGACCCAAAAATAAAGTGAGTACAGAAACAGAATACTTTATTAACTACAATTGATTTAATCTCTTATTACTTTTTTAATTCCTGAACAAAATTGTCATTGGATTGTCGGTGAGTAGTTTATATGTTAGAGTTAAAATATAAAAATTTCACAAATTTAAAGGACATTTTTTATTTCTTGATTGAACATCTGAAATACTCAAACCTATCAAAAAAGTAGAATGTAAGGTTTGGAACTTGGAAATCATAACCAAACCCCTATCTAGTTGAGGAATCCTTTACTGTATCATTCTCAGCAGGTGGACTCAAGCCTTTATTTAGAAACCACTACTCTCTTCTGAAATAATTCATTATTGAGCAGCTTCATATCTACCAATATTTTCCATATGCCCAATTTAAACCTACTTCATTATAATTAAATGTTTCTTTAATGTCACCTGGAGAGAAACGTACCTAGAGCTTCCAACCATAACTCAAGAATTTCTTCCAGGCTCTTTATGATCTTGACACTCTCTATGGCTGTGCTCAAGTTTGCAGGACCATTATGGAAACAGAGTTGCAGATCTTTTATATACATATTGCTGCTCAGTACAGTTGTCCCATATTTGGTGCTTTTGATTTTTTCTGTTCAAATGTAGGATATTGCATCTGTCCTTGTTGAAATTCATCTTGCTAATCTTTGCCCACTTATTTCCTTGTTGCCTAAAATAAAGAAATATATCCATTTTTTTTGTATAAAACAATTAAATTTAACACTTCTCACATAAATATCAGAAATTTAAAATCTGTGGTAGAAATGTCAAATTACACGACCTGACAGAAAAAATAGCATTGGCAATGGAAAGGATTGAATTTTTTATGTTTCATTTCTGCCTCCACAATCATATATTATCAAATGTGTTTGTTACATGGTTAACAGTAAACTATCATATCTAACCAAGACATTAAATATATTATATCTTCTACAAAGATCATTTGGGTTTTTTTGTGTGTGTGTTTCTAAACAGATTATTGGATCGCATCATGAGAAATACTTTGATTATTTTCCCGATGCCTATGAGGAACACTTGTTCACAAAAATGACCAGTAGGCAGGTTTATTCAGATCGACTGTTAATGCATTCAGCACCTGCATCATTGCCGAAATTTTTTTCAACTCCTATGTTAGATCGCTCATCTCTTAGAGAAAGGTAATGGCACATATTTTCGGAAAATTTAAAATAGCAAGCTGTCTTCAGGTTTATACTGAACTTTCAGTGTTTAAATTGGTATGTACTTTAATCAGGGCCTTACTTTTTAAGAATATTGGCCATTGTTTAAAATCTGATATGGCAATCAGTAAAAAGTTAAGTTTGAATTATACCCAGTACTATTCCAATACAGCAGGGCATGAATCAACATTGGTATTTAATCAGCATTAATTTATCAGTAAAAAATAAATTCCTTATTAGTAATACCTACCATTAGACTATGGAGCACCTGATAATAACAGGTTGAATAGGTCAGCCACTGTTATGTCCAAATGCCTTTTATTCAAATATATACCTCAATCTCCTACAGTTTGATACCTTTAAGATACAAGTTCTCATATTGTGGGTTGTAGCTTCGTTGTTGCGAACAAATTTGATGGTGGACATAAAACTGGGCGGGAGGCGGGGTGACTTTTCAAGGAAAGCCAGAGCTTTGATAAACTACTTCCACTTTACGTGGACAAGCCAGCTGTCTTTCTGTATTCTCTGAATGATTATTTGGTTGTCACAGTAACAGCCTCTATCTGGAGTAAACCTAAAGCTTCAGAATCCCTTGATTCTTCTGCTGTACATTCCACTTACAAGTCCCACCAATTTCTACCTTCTTTCTTTCTGCTTTTTCTGCTCCCCCAATCAGTGGAGCAGCAACTAAAAGCCTTGAATTCTGATGATTACAGCATCAGAGACAGAAAAGAGTTAAAAGATAATTTGGGTTTTAAGGATTTTATTCTGCAATGGCAGTTCTCACAACGTCAGGGATGCCAAAGACAATTCATAGTTGAGAGCCTTTAAATGATGGAAATAACAGCCTTTGGATGCTGTTCCATTGGTGGGAGAAAGAAGGAGAAGGCAGGTGGTGGAAAAAGAAGATGGTGACAGAGGAGGTGATGAGCAAAATGGATAACAGCACACTGGAAAGTTTTCAGAAATCCAAAGTCTACTGTGAACAAGGCATGCTACTAGGAAAATCAAAACAATCAGTTGGAGAATAAAATAGACAATCAGATTTTCCAAGCAGAGCTTGGAGCTTGGACTTGACAGACCTGGTGGCTTATACACAGAGTAATCTAGTAATTTTATTTATCATTTAAATGAATAAGACAAATACATGTATTATTTTAGGGATCATGGTACCACAAAGTTGGAGGGCCACCACCTTAAGAAGTACTGAGCTAACCTGGTCCACATGGGATAAACTGAAATAGCAGAAGCTGAAGTTTCATTTCAGTGTTATTTCAAGATTCATTTCAATCTGTGCCCTTTAACAATTAATATATATATATAGAATATATCCTTAGATTGGTTTGGGACTTGCATTCCAGACTATAACAGCGCCACAGCTCTTATTGTTACTGTTACTGTGTTACTTCTATTTAGTTATTTGTCCTGTGTCTACAGTTAGGGAATGTTAAAAATAGAATTTTCCTTTTAACTCTGTACCAGAGTATTTTTTTAATAAACACAAGATGCATTCATTGTATTTTAAGTTGATCCAATACCATAAATGAATTTTGCAATCCATTCTTAGTGTGCCAGATTTTCCGTATTGTAATAAATTATGACAGTACTGCATTTTAAATACAGTATTTTTCACACTATAAGACGCACTGGACCATAAGACGCACATTAGTTTTAGAAGAGGAAAACAAGAAAAAAAAATCTGCCTCTGCCTCCCAGCATCCATCTGGTATTTATCTGGCTAGCGTCCTTGCTGCAAACAGAAAACAGCCTGGTTAGCTTTAGCACGTTATCGCAGCCCCAGCATGTGGCTCATCAGGGCTCAGCTCTGTTGTACCCAGTACTGGTCAACTGAGCTGAGGTGCTGGCGCCACCAGGAAACGCTGTAGCCTTCACTGCCGAGCAGCTGATTGGCAGTTGGATCAGCCTCCCGGAATACCACCAATCAGCTGTTCTAGGCAGGGATTGCCGCCACCAATTGCCGCTGCCGATCACCGTTTGCTGCCACTACCGTTTGCTGCCACCACCGATCGCCACCCCCATTTGGTGGCTGTGATTGGCAGCTGCGAACAGCAGCGGTGGCAGCGGTAATAGCTGCCGCCGCACCAACCCCCCCCCCCCCAATATTCACTTTATAAGATGCAAAGACATTTCCACCCACTTTTTGGGGGGAAGAAAGTGCATCTTATAGTGCGAAAAATACGGTACGCTGATGTCCTGGGTCATTCACACAATGCATAGAGCATTTCCAGCAATAATGCATAAGATCTGTATTTTTTCCCTCTAATCCCAAATGGATTGAGAGACAAGGAAGACTGCAAATCACATACTGTCTGACATGAAATTAAGTTCATGAGTTATTTCCAGTTTAGGAGAAATTGGAAATGTCTTTGCTGATGGATGCAGGCCCATTTTAAAATTAGAGTAATTCTTTACGGATGGGAGCAGGGAGAAAATTCGTAAGTTGACTCTTACTTCACCCTTTTTCTATTTTGCATTTCCCTGATCACTAAATTAGTACTAAAATTAATACTGTACTACAAGGAATATTACTTATTCCTTTGTTTTAATCTATATAATTGTCCTTGAGTTTGGATATATACTATGTGTTCTTATTTTTCTTCATTGTGGAACTTGGTGTTGACAGATTGCTGTCACATGACTATAAAGGGAGACTGCAATTTATTTGGCTTTCTTCAATATTCTTCAATATTTCTTTCTACTCTTTGTGATCTACCTCTTTGTGATCTACCAGTATCTTTTCTTTGTTTTCTTAGGTTCAGAGCCTTAAGAGTCATGTGATTTTCAGTTTTTCAATTCTTCTTTTCTTGGTTGCTTTTTCATAGTTCTGTTCCTTTTGTTTAATTTTAATTTTTTTGTTTTCTGGTCAGTGACATGGTGTTCATTTCTTCTCTAACGGATTGGAAGGCATGTCCAACTTGTTATTCAGGGTTTGAGAAAGGGTTGTTTTTTTAAATGCAAAATTTGTTCAGCCTTACAAAATAGCTTATCATCTTATTCCTCCTTGCCCTAGCTGCAAGGTATTAACACTTGTCATTTGATGAAATCACATCTTTACAATAAAGCCTTCACTTCATGCTAATCCATTACTAGTGTCCGGTGAAGCTCAACAAGCAGGAGTGGTGGATCAACTATTTATGCTATGGAACTGAGAAGAGTCTTCAGAGGGTTTGTAACTGGCTTGACTCCAAATGCCCTGCTGCAAGACTCACATCTAGCTACTACCTAGCTACTTTTCTACTCTGATGATAGAAGGGATCAGAAGCTTGCCCAGTAGTTACATTTGTGTAAAATTTTACAAGAAAGATTAATGAAGAACAACATTTTATATAGTCACCTCCCTACAGGGGTATCTCCCAATATAGATGTAAGGTGGACTTTCTGAGTTCAAGTTGGTAATCATATATTTGTGAAAACCCTTAGTTGTTTTTAAAAGAAAGTTGCCAAATATTCTAAGAAGCTACATAGCTATATTATAAAATCATACTACTCTTTTCTATTTATTCATGTATTTATTAAGTACAGTAGTTTCTGGGGGACTAACTTACTCAGTATTAGTTAACATTACTTGATAGACAAAACTACCGGGCTGCCCTATAGAATAAAAAAGGTACAGCTCATCACAGTTACTTTTGACCTTTACTATTTATCTGTTATAGTTCATCAGAACTTGATTTTTGTCTATTAGGAGTTAAAACAATAGATCTTTACAGTATTTTTGGAGAAATTAATTTCTTAATATGGGGATCAGAGTCTCCCACCCAATTTATATTCAAAGAACTCCAAGTATCTGAACAGACATAATGATCTTATTTTGAGATCACTGTTGAATCTGGTAGCCTCCATTCATATAATACCTTAAAACATTAAGCATATTTTCAACTCTACACACACACACACACACACACACACACACACACACACACACACACAGAGAGAGAGAGAGAGAGACAGAGAGAGAGAGAGAGAGAGGCAATTCAAAGAAATTAAAAAAGAGAGGAAGAAGAGGGGAGGGGATGAAATTTTAAAGGTATAGCTAAAGATATAATCTGTGAAAATGTATATTGCATATTTTTTCACATAAGTGAGATAGTTCTCCAAATTGTAAGTTACACTACATCATTTCCTTAGAAGCAAGGACTAATACCATGCTTCCAAATATATTTGTACTTGCTTATCATTTAAAAAAATGTCAAATGAGTTGTTACCTGTTAGTGAAGGTAAGAAGCTCAAAGGGTTAAGTGATGGCCTGGCTTTTAGAAGATAGTGGATCAATTGATTGCTACTGAAAAGTGGTTGAAAGGCATAGAACAATTAAACTGTAATCTCGTTTTCTTTATTCTCAAGTATCTTGGGGCACTTGCATTTAGTTTATTGAAGTTAGCCATTCACCTTATTGTTTATTGGTATTTTCTGGATAAATAGCTGATGGTGAGATTTACTGCTCAAAATACTTATACTTTCCAGTATAAGTCATGATAAGGTTGATAATTATAATTGATAATTATAAATTGATAATTTTTTTAATGTAAACTGTTGTTATCGTAGTAGGTAACCAATTATGTAAAAAAGATTTTAAGGAAAACACAATCCTTTATTCTCCACCTGCCAACTTACTCACTCATATTAATTTTAATAAAACCAGAACAGTGGCGAAAGAGGAACATCTCAACAAAAGAATAATCAGGGAGGCCATCAAAATTGAAAAGAGGCCGCAGAATATGAGCAGACGAGACGACGCCTCTAGGTTATCAAGTATTTGGGGACCTGCATTGAGAGAAACTAGAGTGTTAACATCAGAAGAGAGGCAGAGATTCCAACAAGCAACCGGTGGTGTTGTAAGGCCTGCCAGAATTCTTCCCTCTTTGCAGAGGGTGGCTAGCAATAGGGAGAGAGAGAGGATCGAGCCAGAAGACAGGCTGAGATCTCAACTAACAATCAAGGGTGCTGGGATGCCTACCAGAATCCTTTCCCCTCTACAGCAGACAGATAATAATAGAGAACCTGAGAAAGCTGGGCCTGTAACACGTAGCCAAACAGCCAGGATGAGGAAGCAGGAAGAAAAACTGCTGTCCTCCAATCAGGACACAGAGTTACAGGCTAGCCAGCATATGTCAGCAGCAGCAAACATAGAAAAGCGACAGCTCCAACCTCGCAACACACCCATAGCTTCTAAACTAAACAAGAGCCTGAAGATGACAGGGTTGTGAGCCTGTCGAAACGTTACTAGAAAGAAAAACTTTTAAGGTACTGGTAGGATTTTAGCTAAGGTTTTAAAGGACCTTGCAGAGTGCTCTGTAGGGATTTTTGGAAGATTTTAAGATAGGATTTTAACCAGAATTTTAAACATTTTAACTAACTTATTTAACATGATGCGGGAAAACACCCGAGATTTAAATTTTTTGCATATACACACCCGCAAAAACTTAAGAAGACAGATATATAAATATATATATAAAATAAGGATTTGATAACAATCTATTTTTGTTACATATATTTATACATAATACGGTATTAATTTCAGCTGTGCATTAGGCTAATTCATGGATCATTTCTCAACATATAGTTCAACTACTCAGGGTGAACTCCTATAATCCCCAACCGCTTTTTGTTAGTACCTTTACAGTTAAGACTTTTTTGGGTGCAGAAATGTGAGCCTTGCTGAGTTCAGTGGAACTTACAATTGTGTATAGCATTGCTGCCTTAATGCGTTAAATTCAAGCTTGTTTCACTGTTGAGTTCTCAAAAATTCATTTTAGCTTCTTCAGTCATAGAGCAATTTCTTTTTAGCCATAGAGTAATTTCTTTTCACCAGACTCCACAATAGTTGCCTGCACTGTAGACGTGCATGTGTTCCTGTATTATATTGATTTTTCCCCCTTATGGTAGTTTGTCCTTGTATGTGGACTTTCTTTCTCTTCTCAGCACAAATCCTCTACATTTGAAACTGATAAATGGAAGCCATAGATGTATGGTTGAACTTGTGAGGGTTTTTTTGGAAGGGGAGAGGAGTTAATAAAGAGCCACAGTGTTTTGCAGAATATATTTGTGATAATTTTGCTAATATAAAATATATTAAGTTTTTGTGCTAATAAGCAAGCAGGCATTTGTTTGAAATTCTCCGTACTTTGTGCCTATTTATATAGTAGTACTGATTTGGGAATGAAATTCATTGAAGTGAAGTGGAATTTACATCTGAGTAAACAGACATAAAACTGTGTTACATAATTCCCCATTTTCTATTTACAAATATGGAAGAGTTAAGTCTAGGCACATAAGTTCTCTTGATTTTTTTCCAATTGTTGTACAAAATATGCATTTAAATTTAAATATGCATCTTTTTTAAAAAAACTTTCCTACAAAAAGAATAAGTGTTTTAGCTACTGTGTGTTATCAGATGCAATCATGTTGATTTCTATCAGTATAGCAACTTTAAAATAAATTATGAGCAGTCTTCCATTGATCTGGCTTATTCCAGGTGGCAATTTGTTAAATCAAGCAGTCACTAAATGAAAAGACCACAATTTTACTATCTTAAGCTTTCCACCACCAGCTTTCCATCACTACCATAACTGCTTAAATGTGGCAATCGCTAAATGAGGAATACATATACAAAATGTTTATATAATGTATAGGAGTCAATAACAATTTAAACAGATATAAAATGTTTGCTAGTAACAAAGAAAATTGAAACCATGACAGAAAAAAATAGCTCTAGAGGTTTGTTTTGTTTTGTTAAAGAAAAGTCAGAAAAATAATGTATTCTAGCAGCACTGGAAGAAAATGGTGATCTCATAATCCTGTTTCTAAGATCTAGGCAGTGATAATCAACTGTTATTAGAGTCTTTGCATGATGGGAATATTTTTATTTATAATTTTAAAAATACAGTTTGAATATAAGCTTCAGAAAATGACTCCTATAGTCTTTAAGAATATAACAGATGATGAGTGTACAACATACAGCTTTTTTGTATGGTGACTTGTCCGTGGTATACATGCTACCATAATGATTTAAAGGGTTGCCTGGTTTTTCTAATTTCTAAAATTATATGTTTACAAAGTAACTGAGATTAGTATAGCATAGCATAGCATAGCATAGCGCTGTGTAAAATGTCATTATCACTGTTATACATATTTTCATTAATATTATAAGTAAATATATTCATTTAAAAGAAAGTTATTTTAAATAATACCTAGTAATGCTTGTTTCTGTTTGGAAAATTAATACAAAGTGATCAGTAAACATTTCTTAAGCTATAGCGCACACTAGTGGATTTTTCTGTCATTTCAGGAAAAAATAAACATTTTATAGAAAAGGATTTTTGTATCATATATTAGAAAATTAAGTGTGATTAAGACGTGTGCATTTCATAGAATTGCAGTATGTATAAAGTGGAAGGGATATTGTAAGTCATTTGGTTAAACTTTTATTGCAGGAGTCCTCTAAACCATCCGGATCCACACTATTCTTAGGAGATTTATTTCACTGCTAACCAGTTTTTAGCATTAGGAAATTTTGTATGTCCTTTTAAAAAAAAATAATCCACTCATCCTTGTTCTGTCTTTGTTTTTTTTTAAAAAACAAAGCTTCCCAATCCTGAATTGACATCTTGGATCTTTCTGTAGTGCTTATATTGTCACCATTGAATGTCAACCAGTCAAACTAAATTTGAATTATGAATTTATAACTAATAAAACAGGATAAAATCAGCTGACACCGTTTATTATTGACAAACCCAAGATGGCATCTGTTAATGATAGTATTTTCTGAACGCTTGCATATAACTGGTCTGTAGTTTCTTGGATCCTCCTGCTTTCCCTTTTTGGATATTAGGGCAATTGCTCATCTCTGCTCTTCTGGTATATTAACTAACTTATTTTCATTGCTATCTGATACTGTTCTGATATTATAGTGGCAAAAATGGGAGTGAGTGTAACCACCTGTGGTATGCTTTTGTAGGTATAAAAGTAATATGCTACGTATTACCAGAATTAAGAATGTCCAGCATTCTCTTCCCACAATGGCCAAGTAGGTGCATTTATAAAGTGCAATTGCAGTCTCCTGTTTGTCATCCTCTCCAATTGATACTAAGAGACATAACCTCTTTCTTTCTAAAAATAATACTTGGCCATGATAACAAATAGTTATTGATAGCTTTATCTTTCATATGCATCTATAAAAGCAAAAATAATGTACTGTACTCATTTCCAAATGTTAATCCATGCTTCTAATTTAAAATCTTCATATAAAGTGTGAATTAGTTATCTTTGTTTTTGAATTTTAGGTATTATACAGGTTGGAACACACCAATAAATGGGGACGAGATTCATAAACGAGTGAAAAATATTTTAAGGACGCACAGTGCAAGGCAAAAGCTAACATTTGTAAGTCTGAAAATCAATTTGCATCTCTCTTCCTTTCTCAGGTTTTAAGCAACAAGGTTTATTAACCATTTCATGCAATTGCCAAGCCTTCATCTATAGCAAACAGAGGTTCACTATTCAGATTGCTAGTTCCTTCAGACATTACAGTTTCCTCTCTCTTGATGCTAAGAGCATACCCATAACTTCTAAGAAAAGGTCGTCAGGAATTCCCTGTGGGATGAGACAACTTTTCAGAAAATACCTTCCCCTTTCCAAAGCACCATTCAATATTACATGGACTAGAAGGGCTATAGGAGAATAAAGAATGCAGTTCTGTCTTCTAATTCAGTTTAAATTACTATGTAAGTATACAATTTGTTCAGTGGCGTGAGTAAATAATTCAGGGGATGGAGCATATTCTCTCTTGCTTTGTGCCAAATTTTAGAGAAAAGGAAGCGCATTTAAAGAAAAAGGAAATGTATCTATTACAAATTTGGTTTGTCCAGGTACCAGCATAATGGCATGTTTAGAACTGGTGGGTGAATCTCATTCTTAGGCAGCTGGATATTCCTCTGTTGTCAGTTACAAGATCCTCCTCTTCATCAATTCATACAGAAGCCAAGAATAAGAGACTTAGAGTGTATCCACCTTAGGAACTGAAAGACCATTCAAATTTGGAAAGGGGAAGATAATTCCATTGCTGAGATTTATGTAACCTTATCCTCTCAATATTTCTTTGTTAAAGTAACTTGGGAAGAATCTTGTTATCAGTGGAAGGGAGGTTGTCAAGAAATTGATAATGAGGCACACAGTGAGGGATTCTACTTTTTTCAGCTTTTTGATTAGGACTAAATAGAAATAGTTCGTTTCCTATGAATTATTCACAAATGCCTTTCACTTCTAGTTTGGCATCTAGGAAAAAGTTGTCTTTGTGGATGTCTGATATAGAATAATAAATAGCTTCTAATTATTAAAAATATATGAGGTAGGTTTTAATGTTTACATATATTCTATTAGTCTTAAAGGAATCATATAAAAGTTAGTGTTACTCTCCCTATATTGCTGAGGGAAGAAGTAAACTTAAAAATAGCTGAAATACTTTTTAAAAAGTAAGTAATATGTTTTGACTATCAAATAAAATTATTGGGTTTTTAAAATCTTTATTTCTTAGGATGAAACTTCTTTGTCAAAGGAAGAGTCTGCTAAGACAAGAGACTCCACTAGGACAATTGATTTCGGAAAAAGAGATTTTTCACATACAGATTCTTTAAACACTAATTTTCAAAACAGGTAAGGTCTCTTTCCATTATGGTTCCCCTCTTCCCATTCCTTCCCCCCCCCCCAGTTCTTAGTCCAACCCCAGATTCTCCCTGAAATAACTTGAGACATATGATTAATATTATGTCCATACCATAGCTATTAGAGACTAACTTTAAATAACCTTTTGCACTAATTCCATGCAAGTCATTTGAGCTTGATATTTAGCATGTTTGAACCAAGGTACAGCCCAAAGTCAACCTCTGTTGGTTTTAGTAGATGCAATTTTCTGCCTTTCTCCTTGTCTTTTGTTTCTTCCTGCATAACATTACTTTAATGGCATAACAGCCATTATATCTGTGTAGCTTTCCATGTCAGTATTATAACTGGGATAACTTAATAATGCCCAAAATTATGTCAGATGTGCCTGTGATGCAGGTCATCCTTATATTACTAAAACTCCTGAGTATTGTTTCTTTGTGCATATAAATAAAAGCCACAACTACTATGATGCCGGGCTCTTTACAGTGTATTTTTTTTTTTTAATTTGATTTATATGCCGCCCTTCTCCGGAGACTCAGGGCGGCTTACAGTGCGTTAAGCAATAGCCTTCATACTTTTGTATATTTATACAAAGTCAGCTTATTGCCCCCACAAACTGGGTCCTCAATTTACCTACCTTAGAAAGGATGGAAGGCTGAGTCAACCTTGAGCCTGGCGGGATTCGATCTTACTTTAATTGCAGACAGCTGGTGTTAAACTACAGTGCTTCTGTCTGTTGAGCTAAACAGTATTGATGTCACTGAAGAATAAACCCTTTACTGTTTCAGTGGAAACATAACAAACTATATTCACTCAGACTGTTAAGTCATTTAAACTAATATCAGTTACATTGATTAACAGTGACATTCAGAATTTTAGGCTAGAGCTTTTCCAATCATTGTTGTATACCAGGAATTGAACCAGGGATTTTTTTTTTTTTTGCAGGCAAAGTTTGTACTTACCATTATATTAAAGTTATCTTTTTAACTGAGAACCTAACCTATACTTCGATATTACCAACCATTCACGAATTTGGAATTTTTCTGTAACTCATATATGTATATTCTGAGGGAGTCAATGTGGAAGGTACAGCACATGAATAAAGAATTTGCAACTCTTAGAGATACACCATCATTGAGAATAATTGACTTTGAAATGTTAATATTCAAGTAAGATCAGATGCTGATGGGTTTGTCCCATCCTCTAGGCCAGTCAAGCCAGTTGGGAAATAAGGAGGCTCAAGGATATTCTGACAGTTTCAGGTCTGAAGATGTCCTCATAAATAGCTCTAAACTCTAAAGTAGAGTTCAAAGGAGAAAATAGTTTTGCTGACCAAATGTTCACACTAAAATAAATGATTGAAAACCTCTGGGATTACCCAGAAGATATGTGATGTTGAAATATTTAGTATGAAAGTGACTTTGGAAGGAACTTGTGAAACTTTAAAGGATATGGAACAAAACCATGTGACAGGTAGATGACAGGTATTTCTGAAAGTGGAGTCAGTGCCATTATCTTGCTCTTAATACAATTTCTGCTTGTAATCCCCAGATAGCTTCACTTTAGCTTGTCAGAGTAGTTTTCAGTTAAGATAGCATTTTTTTCCAACATGGATGTAGATCTGTCCATTTCATTGTGGGATTCCTTGTGAGGAAGGGGTGGCTAATGGCCCAGCATGAAAGTAAGTGCTGACCTTGTCAGTATGCTGATCTGAAACCAACAAAAATCACTACTGCTCTTTGTAAGTCTTAGGCTGTGTTGTGATGACTAGTTTTAAGTGAAGGAGTTTGAATTTGTTAGAAGCTGACTCTGAGTAATATGTTGGCAAATCCATATTATTATGGATAGTTTGAAGTTGCTTGTTTCAGATTCAAGCCAAGAATGAAAGTGTGAAAAACTCAGAATTTGGCACACACAGATATGTTTAGGGTGTAATCAACCAACTGTTCTCTTGATTAATACCTGACTGGTAAAAGCTACTCTAAAAACGTGGTTCCTCTTAGTGAAGAGTGATCAAACCCTTTATAGGAAATGGAGGAGCTAATTTTATTTATTTTTTGTCTTTCTTTCTTACACTTCAATACCATTTCCTATCTTGAAATTTGCAAATTAAATATATTTCAGTATAATGAAGATATAAAATGGGAAAAAATATTTAAAAATCCATGTCCATAACATTTACCGTACATAAGAAAGACAAAGACACAGAACTTCAGTACGTAACATAATAGCAAACACTTCACAGACATTGTAGAGCAGAGTTTCCCAACCTTTCCAGCTGTGCAGACTGGGGGGGGGGAGAGAGGGATGGATCTGTGCAAGTGGCATGCACATGCATGCTCGCATGTGCACCTCCATTTGCACAAGAGGTGGGCACGTCTGCCCATCGCTCTTGGAAGTGGGGATGCATGCATGTTCACCTGCCACTTCCACAGCCCAGTTCCGAAGAGCTCAAGGCCCGGTAGTGGGCCACAGCCCAGCAGTTGGGGACCCCTGTTGTAGAGAGAGCATTTCAGGAGCAGGCTCCATCACAGACAAGTTTCACTTATGAATAATTGTAAGATTACATTCTGTTAATCATGCACATCCAGCTGCAAGTCTCCTTGGCAGTCTTCCTGATCCCAAAATTAATCACATAGGAGAAAACTATTAAAACACTGTCTATGGAGGTTCTCAGTCATCATTGTCCCAGAAAGTGCTTTTTTTTCCCCAACTGCAACTGGATTTCCTTGATTTTTCTTGATGTTTAACTTCTCATTCAATAAACTTCTTCAGTTCTAACTAACTAGTGAGGAATAGAAGGAATTTATATTCTTTGCAATCAATCAATTAACATTCTGAGGGTTGTTGAAATCAGCTGGGGGTTAACCTGTGTCCTCAGAGTCACCTGAATTAGGGAAATCAGGAACATATTAAGATAGAAGACCAAAACACCCCAGACACAAACAGGGCAACATTGTATATGCAGTGCAGTGCAAAATTGTATATTGGGGAAATGAAACAACTACTACGCAAATGCATAACACAGCATAGAAGAAACCAACGCAACAGGGATAGAATTCAGTAGTCATTCTGCATCTGAATGAAAAGAGTAGTAAAGTTCACATTCTGGACAGAAAGGACCACTGGTTTGAAAAAAAAGGAGTCAAAGAGGCTGTCTATGTTAAAACTGAACATATCTCTTTCAAGGGTGTGTTTGTGTGTAATGACAACACTTATCTCCTGTTTGCAATGCAGCCTTTCAGTGGTCCCAAGGAGGTTCCACAGTTGTTTGCACTCTGATTCAAGTGACTTCATTAACCTCAGAGTGCTTACTACAAAGAATATAAATCCTTTCTATTCCCTACCTGTTAGTTAGAACTGAAGGATGAGAAGTGAAATGTCTTCAAGAAAAATGAAGGAAGTCCAGTTGTAGTTTGAAAAAAAGCACTTTGGGGTACTATCAAAACTCTTGATTGGAATACAGTTCATTCACGAGGATTTGTGTTTAGAACATATTTGTATGACTAGAATTAAGACTATTCAAAGTTCCTAAGAACAGATGCCTAAGAACAAGTTAAAGTTTATTTAAAAAGTTAAATGCTATTATGTGCGTGTGCTATAGTAGTGCTATGAAGTAGGCAAGGTCAAACACAGGCATAGCAAGGATTTCAGCAAAAACTCTTTACTGCTGTAGGATAGAATAATAATCTTGAAAGCCTGTCAGAGTCTCTCTCTGCCTCACCTTATACCAAACCAAAGCAAAGCAAGGTTGTTTTGAGTTTCTTTCTCACATTTTCCTCTTTCTCAGGACTGATTAATCTTTTCTGAAAGTCTTCCTTTAACATACCCACCTCCTCTACTCCCAAGGCCCAGGTCTACATTCCTTCAACCTGCATCTCTGAGCTTTGTACCTTCACAGTGAGAAGGAAGTACAACTCCTGTGAAAAATAGACTGACAGGGATGTGTTTAGGGTCATTTAAAGGTGAACAAGAAAAAAGAGAATTTGCCTTTAGTAGCATAAAAGGTGTAAAGTATTGATACTTTTGGAGCTGCATTTCAGCAGCCAGGGCTTTTTATATAAAAAATAAGCACGAGGTAAGGAGGCTCCCATGCTATTTGAAGTGTGAAACAAGTTGTGCAATGTGTAATCTTCAGGCATAATCTGATACTGAAATGAGAAGCAGACTGATAAGCAGAAGCTCTAATCAGGTAGATTAAAATGCAGATGCAGACAGAAAGTAATAACACCATACATATTCCTGGAAAGAGATCACCATCACTGTCTAGAATTTTCCAGACTGGCAAGCAGCACATTATATTTTAGCATTCATTATGTGCCTTTTTATAAATGGTATTTCATATAAGAAAATATTTGTCATCAGCATTAACCCTAGTTTATGAGTAATTAACACACAATGCAAATTATATAAAGTATAATAAATCAATGATAAATGCCTGTTACTCTTGTCTGAATTTTGAAAGATAATGATTTGCTTTATTTTTATTTATTTTTTTGGTCTGGGTGCTTTTGGGCTTTGGCAGTTCATTCAGCCAGCCAAACGTGATGGTTCATTTGGATAATGATGAATATTGGACCAGTCAAGTTGCGGAGTATAAAAACAAGCCCCACAGAGCCATCTTTGAAGACAGCCTGGAAAAAATCTATCGAAACATGTACAGAAAAGCTTCCAGCTCACTTTCAAAGAATAAATCAAACTAAATTCCTAATAAGTGCTTTAGGTGAAAATGAACAGTGTACAAGATCAGTATTTTTTAATTACGAAGAGTCTAATGACTGTATTCTATTTTTTAACGGAACTGTTTTTACATAAGTATGTGAAATTTCTAAGGCTGGGATTTTCAATATAAAAATAAAATCTGGATGATTTTTATTACAATGTATTGTTTTGTTATGAATTTATAGGCATGCCAGCAGTTTTAGTTTCTCATTCTCAAACCTCAAGTTTTCGATTAAGGAAAATCTAAGTCATTTTGCACTTGCACTATGTGCAAAATATATGAGGTCTTTCCCTGTTGCTTCTGGAATTGTATTTCTAACTCTGCTGCTGAAATACATCAACATCGTCATCGTCATCGTCATCGTCATTTCTCTCGGTCTCTGAGTCATGTCATTGTATTTTTGCTTCATGTATGTGAGTGATGACAAGAAGAAGATTGTGAAGTGGGGTGTCTGACAGCACCAATTCTTTCAGAACTATAACATTGGAAGTTATTACACTTTCCAGAATTAAAAAAAAAATGGAACTATAATTAAAAACCACCTAACACAATTATATAATATTTGAAACTAATGGTATATACAAAGTGATACAAAAAGCAGATGGCAGTCTCCAGAATTTATAGCAAATTACTCCGTTCAGTGAGAGAAAGGAAAGAAAGATTTTATTTTAAAAAATAGTTGAAATAGAGAAGTCTGTTCAGTTAAACTGGGGAAAGATTGAAGCAGGAGTTCAGAGAGTAGCAGGCAAAATGAAGGTTTCAAGAAGTTCTGCAGTTCAAAAAGAACAATGATAAACTGGAGGGAGTTTGGTGGACTAGCAAAGTAGCAAGGTGTCTGAAAATGAAGCCCTATGAGGAACAATTAAATGATTTTTTTATAAATTGGGTTTGAAGGAAAAAAAGGGGAATGATAGCAGCTTTCAAGTATCTGAAAGATAGTCACACAGTCTTCTGTAATGAATATAATACCCATAGTTCTAAAATATAGGAATGGAACCAGTAAGTTATCATTGCAAGAAAAGAAAGAGGTTCAGGCTTGATATCAGAACAGCCTTTGTGATTAAACGAGCTGTCATCCAATATCAAACGCTGCCACATGAAATGTTGAGTTGTCCACTAGAGATCTTCGAACAGGTTGAATCGTGATGTGTCAGATTCTGCACTGAGCAGGAACATTCCAACTTGATAATGATAAGCGGTTTATTTTACTTTCGTGTTCAACTACAGAAGGAAGAAAAAGGGGGGAAATGCTATTGCCACCACAAAGAAAGCCGCCTGCCAAAGCAAAGAGAGGGAGGAATCTACAACACAGACACATGCAAAGCAGGGTCACTTTTTGCACAAGAACTTTGTTTCCTTTGTTTAGGAATGAGAATAAAATGCAACGTTTCTGAATTGAAGAGGGAGAGAGACCAGGGGAAGGAGTAACTTTTTCTATGCTTGACTGTCACACCTATCTGCCCTGATCTACAGGGGATGAATGGGTGGAGGGTGGAAGGGAAGGAAGGAAAAAAAGGAAAATAATAAAAAGGAAAGGAGGAATAGATCCGTTCAGTTTGCCAGGCGAGCATCCTGGAACCAGTAGTTTTGCACCATTCTTCTAGCTCCTGGAGCACTTTTATCATATTTAAAACAAACATCTGGAGATGACTGGATAAGGACATCTCATCAGGCATCTGATGATCATTCCAGGCAGTGGATCCTCTGCCAGAGACATTTGTAAATAAAACTGGATGCTTGCTAGATAGTATCTTGGGATAGTCCAATGACATTTCTGGCCCATAATTTGAGAATGTGAATAACTAGCCTACTGCCAAAGATAAGACATTTCTAGCAACCAGTACCTAGAGATAGTCTGATCACTTGTCTGGTCAATAAATTGGGAATTCTGACCCAGTGCTGAATATGTCTGAGAAAAGTGCAGTGCTCCCCTCTCATTGGCAGGAGTTAGATTAGGAAATTGGTGTTGACTTCTTTATGTCACAAATAGGAATACAGATAAAATCCTCACAGGGGAGAGTGATATCTGCAAAGCTTGCTAAATAACTTTTTCTAAGTGCAGGTGAAAGAATTTACACACATTTCTGCATCAAAACGTATGTTTCAGGTATTCTAAGTGTGAAGAAAAAAGGAAGACTGCATCATTATCAATAACCCTAATCAATTCACTGCAGGGTGATGGCCTATTCAACCATTTTCTAACTGCTTCAACACACTGCAAGTCATTTCCAGTTAACACCTTGAACTGAGTTGCACCATCTGCTGAATGTTTCTTTGGTTGTCCAAATCTTTTCAAGCCAGTTGGGTGTCCAAATCAAGGATTGTGGTTGTCCATAGATCTGTTCATCAACATGTAATAAGCTGGCCCTGTGCCATTCCCATGACGCTGCCTCCTTCACACATACATATGCTGATAAGTAGGTCTTATGAGTGAGAGACAATGTGGGATGGTTTGGTGTCAGACTGGAAAAAAACAGATTCTAGTCCTTCCTTAGGCTCAAAAGCAAGCTGAGTGATTTGGGACAGTCAGACCCTCAGTCTGGAAATTTAGAAACATCTATGTACCAATATATAATGCATTGATTTGGACTAATTTTGTGTTTGTATGTGTGTGTACAAACAAACACATTCATGCATACATACTTGTATGAAAGTATAGTATTGTATGCTATAATTTACATTAATTGTTATACACTGCATCCTGCTTTTGGGGTCCTGTATTTAACAAGATATTACACTGGAAGACCTCTAAGGTCTTCTAAAATGCTCTTTCTTATTATACTTGTTCCCAAATTTCCCTTGAGAGCCCAATGTTACTGGATATGCCAGTGCATTGTTTACATATATGAAGAAAAAAAACCTGGGGTATCATATCCACCCAAATATCAACGTTTTGCATATTCCTTGCTTTAGTCTGAACAGAATTGGATTCTGTCCTTGCAAGCTTAAAGGATGTCTTGGCAGAACTGTATTGGCAAAGCTGGCATCTCTTTGCTAAAGGCCACCAAATGTTCACCAGTCATTTTGAAACTTCCCTCGAGAAGAAACCTTTCTATCCTTCCACTGGATATATCCCACATGAACAAATCAGAACAGGCTGCCCACTTTCATCAAGCATCACAAGATTTAAAGCCAGGAAGAAGAAAATGTTGTATTTTTGGAATATTTCTTCTCAAAGCACCCAGAAATAGACTCTCAAAGGTAATTTCAGCTGTATTTTTTTCCAGACTCTCTTAAAAAGCACCAAATACATCATATAATACTGCCATCTGCCCCCATTTTCCGCTGATGAGTTTATCCATTTTTTAAAAAGATGTTTCTATAAGATATACAACTTGGACAGATAAGCGATTTTATTTATTTAGGTCTTCCCATTAGCAACATTTTTAGGGTGGCATGTAATGAAAATCATAATGTTTCGAGATAAAATATAAGTGGTGCCCCAAACTTTAATAAAATAGAACATCCGAATGATTCAAATAACTGGAAAGTAACTGGGTAAATAAATATCTTGGTGTGAAATGTCAGCTGAGTTGGCATGAGGCAACATCCTAACAATCCATTCCATAAAAATGCCGAAGGGCCCCATTTTCTGTAGCATCTGTCTTCCTTTAAATTGTATTGTAATACAAAGAAACTAGGCAGTTCTCAGCTAGCAGTATGCATATGAAAAGTAATGCAGTCCCAACAATGTTACTTTATTGGAATATTATATCTTTAAAAGCCACTAGAAACTGTAAATTTAATGGCTAAATGCTACTAACAATTTATATATTCTTTTCCAGAGCAGTTGGTGGGTTTTAAAGTTTTAATGGTTAAGGTTTTAATCATTGTCATGGAAGTCACTTAATGACTTCTTTAACTTCAACCGCAATAACACAAGGGCTATCAATAGATACAAACTAAATGTAATTCGCTCTAATCTTGATTGCAGAAAATACGACTTCAGCAATAGAGTAGTAAATGTCTGGAACACTCTACCTGATCCTGTTGTTAGTTTCTCTAACCCCCATACCTTTTACCTTAAACTATCTAATGTGGACCTTACATGATTCTTAAGAGGTCCCTAAGGAGGCGTGCATAAGCGCACCAGCGTGCCTACCATCCCTGTCCTACTGTCCCCATTTATACGTAATCATTTTATGTGTTTATGGCTATGTTTTGCCTGTTTATATCCATTTATTTGTGCCATTTTTTTCATGTGTCCATGTCTATGCCTATACTGATACTTGTTTCCTTGTACTTGTTGACAAACAATTAATTAAATAAATAAATAAAATAAGTCAAACAGGTTATGTTCTATAAGAATCCTTTAAAAACCTATAGCTTGTTTAGATTGACTGTTTAATTACTAATTGAAAATGTAGATGAGCAGAGAAAAAAACAAATATTCTATTTGGATGAATCTAGAGGAAAAATGGATACAGTCAATACAAAACATTATCAGTGATTATTTTCTGAAGAAATACTGCATTGTGCTTTTGCCAAATTCTATTATGACTAGAAAATAAAATGTCTATGGAGTCTCAGTCATCCAGGTCATGATTGTCTCAAAGATGCTTTTTCAAAAGGCAACTGGATTTTCTTTTTCCTTGAAGGCATCTTCAGTTGTTCATTTAGAAAACAAGCCTGATTTATGCGTGTAAATAAGAGATGAAAAGATTGTTAGGTTGCTCCACCTTCCCATGTCAAAAGGTTTGAAAATAATCTGGGTTGCTTTTTATCTCCTTAAGACTCCATGTTTTCCTCCCTCCCTGTAGACCAGGGAACTCTTCTCTCAGAACTTTGTTGAGTAATTACAACTCAGTGTAGGAGAGCAAACAGAGGTGGAGGAACAAAATCTTAGTCCTCCTGTGTGCTCACCATCCAAATGTTGAAGAAGAATGTTTTCTCTCAAGTATAACATTAAAAACTGATCCTGAGGGTTTTTTTTAAATGGCTGTTGCTGGCACAGCACATTCACAGATCCCTCTGTAAAGGAGGAGAAATGGTGGGCTTTCTCCTATTTGGTTCCTGATTTGAATAAATATTCAGAAACTTACCCCCCAGGTAAGAAGTGTTTCGATTTCCTGAGCACCATTTCCACTGATATGGTGGAGCAGTTGGGGAGTTATTGGCTATTATTATAGGCATTTTTTCTAAAATCTTATGGCATTCT